CCAAAATGTTTTTTGTAATGAAGTATTACATCGTGAATTTTGAAGACAGAAAAAAGTATAGAATGGTCTGTGGAACCACTATTTTGGATGCCATGGATATTTTTTAAAAAACTAACTTTCTTGGGGCGCCTGGGTGGCTTAGTCGGTTAAGCGTCCGACTTTCGCTTCGGTCATGATCTCGCGGTTTGTGGGTTCGAGCCCCGCGTCGGGTTCTGTGCTGACTGCCAGCTCGGAGCCTGGAGCCTGTTTCAGAGTCTGTATCCCCCTCTCTCTCTGACCCTCCCCTGCTCAGGCTGTCTCTCTCTCCTAGAAATAAATAAAAAAATATATATATATATAAAAAAAAAAAAAACAAACAAAAAAAACCTAACTTTCTTATGACAAGCCATATTGCTGGGAGTATCCTAACAATAATAATGCTAGAGTTTTAAAGTTTAACTGAGTATCTTGACAGGCTTTATAAGGTTGAAAAATAATACTAACATACCTAAAACAACTTTTATCTACTTTACTTGAAATAGCTTTTGTAAGATAAACTTCTGTGATATCATGAATGAATATTTATTGGCTGCCCGTTATTTACAAAGCACTGTACTGCTGTGTCAAGATAATTTATTGAACAAACATTTATTGAGCATCAAACTTGTGCTAGCGGTGGTGTTACTTGCTGTGGGTTTAGTAACAGTAGCAGCAAAGCAACAATACGGCCCCAATCTCTGCTTACCTCAAAGAGACTGAAGTTTTTTTTTTCTTCAAAAAGTTTTTATTCAAAAATAAAATAAATAAGTAAAAAAGTTTTTTATTCAAAAGTAAAATAAAGAGACTGAGGTTTTTTCAAAAAAATTTTTTACTCAGTAAGTTTTATTTAAATAATAACCTTTTTTTTTTTTTTTAAGGTCACTTTCTGGTTCTAGAGGGGCTAGGGTTCCTAGCAGACTAAGACAGAGACTCCGTTTCAGAGGAAGAAGAAACCCCGCTCAGGGGCCTCAGCCACAGGCCCCGTATCAGCACCATGCAGAGCCTGATGACGTGCGTCGAAGATCAGCTCAGGGCAGGATTTGCCAACCTAGCACTGTTGGCATTTGGGGCTGGATAAACCTTTGTTTCGGGGGGCTGCGCTGTGTGTATAGCAGCACCTCCACCCGCGGATGTCAGGAGCGCTCACTCTAGTTCTGGCTTTAAAAGTTGTCTCCAGAGGGCGCCTGGGTGGCTCAGTCGCTTACGCCCCCAACTTCACTCAGGTCATGATCTGGCTGTTGGTGAGTTGGAGCTCAGCTCAGAGCCTGGAACCTGCTTCGGATTCTGTCTCCCTCTCTCTCTGCCCCTCCCCACTTGCTCTCTCTCTCTCTCTCTCTCAAAAGTAAATATTAAAAAAATTTTTTTAAATGTCTCTAGCCATTGCCTCGGGGCTGGGGAGGAACCAGAGCCACTGGCCTCGGGCCACTTAAATGTCTCCAGTCAGTGGTCAGGCTTGATCCTAGGAAGTAGTCCAAACAGTTTGAGCCGCAGCTGGGAGGAGAGGTTGAGGGTGGAGACCGGGAACATTCCAGTCACACGCACCATTCTCTTTTATGGTCATCTTGGAATATAGCTGTTTAAAAATGTTTCCATTTCCTCCTTTTCTTTTCCTTATTTGGTGAATTTGTTGTCAGCACTGGGGGGTAGGGGAGGTTGTTTTTCTTAACTGTTACTTTCGGGAGGAGATGGTCTCCTGGTCATTCAATCTGTGTGGACTTCCGGCAGGAAATGGCACTCAAGGAAAGTTTTGAATAAAAGGAAGATGCTGGTTAGCCAGTGGAAACAGGAAGTTGTTGCCTGTGTCTTACACAGCTTAGAAGAAAGTAAGAGGCAGAGGGACAATGCACTTAGCAGAAGCAGGAGGAGGGGTGGGGTGGGGAGCGCTGAGGAGCAGAGGGAGACAGGTTGAAAAACCTTGGATCTCCTGGGGGAGCTGCTGCACAGGAAGCAGATGATGGTCGCTGTGAAGTAGGAATGGGGTCATGCGGTAACAATAAGTCAAAGTTACTGTGATTTATTCATTATGCTGCTGTGTAGTATACTGCTATACTCTAGCTATTCTAAAAATACTCTGTTTAAAGGAATACGGTTTCCTGGGGCGCCTGGGTGGCTTGGTCGGTTGGGCATCCCTCTTGGGCTCAGGTCGTAATCTTGAGGTCTGTGAGTTAGAGCTGCATGTTGGTCTCGCTGCTGTCAACACAGAGCCAGCTTCGGACTGTCCCCCTCTCTCCCTCTGCCCCTCTGTGCGCGCGCTCTCTCTCTCTCTCTCTCAAAAATAAATTTAAAAAAATAACGGAATACAATTTTCTCACAATTAATATTGAAAGCATATGCCTACATTACAAAACCCCCTTGAATAAACAGAGAGAAAGAAAGCAAATGTGGCAAAATGTTAGCAATCGGTGAATCGGGTGAAGGGTATGTGGCTGTTCGTTGTGTTCTTGTAACTTTTCTGTAAGTTTGAAAACTCTAAAAATAAAAATTTGGGATATGTGGGGAGAAGAGTCTGTTTATTTTTAATGTTTTATTTATTTCTGAGAGAGAGAGACACACACACACATAGCGTGAGCAGGGGAGGGTCAGAGAGAGAGGAAGACACAGAATCAGAAGCAGGTTCCAGGCTCTGAGCTGTCAGCACAGAGCCCGACGCAGGGCTCGAACCCATGAACCATGAGATGATGACCTGAGCCGAAGTCGGACATTTAACCCACTGAGCCACCCAGGTGCCCCGAAGAGTCCGTTTTTTAACTACACGATACTTAGGGCTGGATGGGTCATCACAGATACATGTTCATGGGTACGTGACATCACCTATGAATTCTTCTCACAACATAGTATAGTGATGACCAACGTCCTCGTGTGACCAGAGTGACTTCTCATCTTGTGTTTACATATTCGCCGATTCTGATACATTCAATGTGGAACTGTCAGAGTTTTGCATAATTTGGACCAACATTTCCTAAGAAAGCAGAAGTAACTCTTAGCTTATAGCATTTGCTACCATTCATTCAATGGGAATTTCTTGAGCACCTACTGTATACAGGGTAATGGTTAAGTGTTAGGTGAAATACTGATATGAATAAACTAGATGCTCTGTTCTGAAATAATCTGATAATTTGGTAGAAATTAAAACCCTACCTTAACACAAGGTGGAAAGTCACTGTTCCGTGTCAAGTCTTGAAGGAGAGCATCACCACTTCCTCTGGGGGGACAAGGTGTTAGGTGGACCCCTGTTGCATCTGTCCATCCTGTGGTGGACGAACGGTGGGGCTGAGAGGTGAGGCTGCGTGTGGGGCTGGAGCAAACAAAGAATGCGGTGCTGGTTTGCTACTGCTGCGTGACACATTGTTCACTGGTGGACACAGTAACTTTATTATCGCTCCTGTGTCTGTGGCTCGGTGGGTCATGGTTGGCCTCGCCCAGGTTTGGGTGGGCGGTGTCACTTCAAGCTGCGGCTGCTGGATGGGAATTTGTGCCTCTTCCTGCAGTTTTGTGAGTTTATGTGTCTCTCATCCTCCTTGGACCAGCAAGCTAGCTAGGGCACGTGTTCCCAGGTGATGGCGGAGGGGGATGAGGACGCATAGAAATACGTGAGACCACACAAAGCCTAGGCTCAGAGCTCAGAGCTGTGCCTTATGGTTGGCCAGCAGAAGTCACAGGCTAAGCCCAAGGTCTTGGGTCAGAGGAGAACCCTGTGCCCTTGGTGAGGTACTGGCAAGGGTACGGGATGCAGGGAGAAGTGAAAAATCGATGCAATTGATGACATATGCCTTGTGGTTATATAAACACTACATTTTTAGGGGAAATAACTTTACTTGTTTTTACAGAGCAAAATTTAAAAATCTGAGAAAATCTTTAAAAAATAGGTTCACATAGAAGACTGTTGCTAGGTATCTATTTTATTTTTTTCGTTTGTTTATTTTTGAGAGATATTAAGCGAATGAGGGAGGGAGAGAGAGGAAGGAGACAGAGGATCTGAAGCAGGTTCTGCGCTGAGAGCAGAGAGCCCCACGCAGGGCTCCAACTGGCGATATGACCTGAGCCAAAGTCCTACACTTAACTGACTAGTTCACACAGGCGCCCCACTAGCCATCCCTTTAAATACCAACTTTCTAGGAGGGGGCAAGGAAGCATGAGGTTAAACTTGAACTTGAGGAAGATCTAATGAAAAAGGTAATGGGAAATATGTGCCATTTAATTTTTAGACCATCTTGAGGCTGGCTGTAGGCCACACTTGCCCTTGATATTTTGGGCCTTTATTTCCTGCATTCTTTCTTCTTCTCAGCAATTTGCCTCCTTCCCATCCTGACATCTTTGTACTTTCTCCCTCTCCATCCAAACCTGTTCTGCAGAAGCAATCTGGTAGACTCGTTCACAGTGAGGCAGAAGTGCCTAGCGAGGATTTGAGCCGGGGACAGAAGGGGGAACGGCTCTGTGAATGGACGCACACACACCAGTGACTATGGTGGAGAGGGAGAGCACAAGGGGGACCCAGGGAACTGGCCCAGTGACCTCAAAATCATATCCTGTAAGAGGTTACATTGTTCCTGGACAAGCTGCCTACTTGGGTTTGTGGGCAAGGATGTAATCGCAGGAATAACTAGCAGGAGGTCTTGTATTCTGTACTGAGCATAAATAATATTAAAATACGTGCCGTGGTAAGTCAATTGTAGTTAATAGGGTTTTGTTTTTTTTTTAATATGTTTCGGTTCTAATTCTTACCAAAGAATTAGGTTGCAGTCATTGTCTTTGAGAAACAAATAAATAAACGCAGCAGACATCAGGCAGGAACTTTCTGAACTGTGTCAAGGTTAATAATAAGTAAAATGTTATAAGTGGAGACCGGACAGCAACAGCTGTGCAACATTCTTGGAAGCAAAGATTTTGGTAGCGTGAAGTCAGACTGTGAGCTCAGCCTCTGCCGCTGCTCTGGGTGAGCAGAGAACGCTTATAATAATTATAACAAAACCCACATTGCTTTTTATAAATTACAACTGTTTGGCGCGCTCACAATAGGATGTCTGCATTTGGAAACTCAGAGGCATGTGGAACAATGTTGGAAGAAGACCCAGATCAGACCTATGAGAATGTCGTGGCTGAGATTCAGTCTTTTGAGCTGCCCATTGAAGCGACATTAAGGTAGGACTCCTTTATATTTGTTTCTTCTTTCGTGGTGATTGGGCAGTCTTATTCACTTTTTTTTTGTACTTTTCTCTATAACAGAATAAAAAGTGGATTTTGAAAAAAAAGTTAAAATTCTGTATATACAAAACCTGTATCTCTTTTCTTATCTTTAGAGAAATTACAATAAACAATTCACTTTTTTGGCATTATATTTGTTTCCTGATCTGTCACCCCAAGGTTTAAAGAATAGAAATGACTTTCAAGAGATCAAAAAGGGTTATATTAAAAATAAATAACCTCATTTAAAAAAAGAGAGAGATCAAAGAGGGCCTCAGGCCATCTCCAAATACATATCCCCTCTTATTTTATGAGATTTCAATGGTTTTCTCTAAAATATCGCCTAGCAGTAAACATTGAGAACAATTAGACATGTCAGTGAAATCAATTTCTGTTTGGGTGGATGTGAGTTTTAGGGGGAAAAAAAGTTAAGTGTTTATTTTCATTGCTGTTACTCTCAGGGATGTGCTGACCTCTCCGATATGGGGTTGTTGTTTTTTTTTTTTCCACATACGATTTAAAAATAGCTTCTTTGGTAATATGGGGATTAATTTGCACATTTCAAGAACAGGATTAAAATGAAAGACCATGTATCTTTATGTTAAAAGAGCAGCTTTAAAAATTTAACTCATTCTGATTGCCTACCTGTAACTGACACTTATCAGTGTGGGAATGAAATGGCAATCACTGAATTTGATAGTGACAGTCAATAAATATTTGTTGGCTAATATTTGTTAATTAAATAAAAGGATTTGTGGGGGAAGGTATTGTCTCTTCATCCTCAGGAAGGGTCCAGGGCCAAGTTACTTTGAAATACACTACAGTTTAAATCTGAGTAAATGTCTCCCAAATATTTAAATTTGATTTTGCATTTAAATATATTTTGAATCTCTTCAAAGGGCCTAAGGTAGTGTTGGGGGTATGGAAGGTATAGCTCTTTATTGGTTGATTCTTGGGTTATCAATATGTAGGTACAGTTGTAAAATAAACTTCCTTACAATTTTTTCCTTACATTTCATTTTATCCAAGCATCATGAACATCCCATGAAGAAGGGCAGGCTATTTCTACCCTATTTAATAGGTAGAAGAAACCAGACCTTTTTTTTTTTTAATGTTTGTTTATTTTTGAGAGAGAGAGAGCGGGGGAGGGGCAGAAAGAGAGGGAGACAGAGATGGGAAGCAGGCAGGCTCTGTGTTGACAGCAGAGAGCCCGACGTCGGGCTCGAACTCACAAACCACTAGATCATGACCTGAGCCAAAGTCGGGGGCTTAACCGACTGATCCACCCAGGTGCCCCCCGCAAAGCTGTTTTACTAGTGAGAAACTCAGTAATTTTTTCCATATGGAACAGACTTTATATTGTACCAGCACCTTCTAGAACTTGTGCATTTGCCTGGTGGCTAAATCAGAAGTATAAAGGGAAACAAGACAAGAGGTGAGGGAGCCTAGACATGTGTTAGCTACTGTGGCCTCTGCTGCCATTGCTGCTTCAGAGCCCTTGGCCTTCAACCTCTGACCCTCTCCCCTGGTCTCACAACCCTGGGCAACACCTACATATGTCATCCGTCCATGGAACTGTCCCTAGTCTTGGTGATACTGGACCTGACTTCCTGCTTTGGATCTTGGAGCTTTCCTACCCTCTGTTGTGAGGGCAAATATCCCCAGTCTTGTACCTGGTCTTCCTAAAGAAAAAAAGTCAGTGTAGATCTGGCCATCATAACACTCTCCCAGTGTTACTCTCAAGAGGGGAGGCAGCACTGATATCTTCTCCAGGTGTTGCCCTGTCACCACCAGAGTGGACCTGTAGAATCCACTAGTAACTTCACGTCTGGGTTATTGAACAAGGGTGGAGAGCACTAGCTAAAACACCCCAATGTTATGTGGAGGGTAGACACAGAGCTCCTAGTAAAACTTTATCTGGGACAATATTAACCAAAGTTAGTTTTCCTGAATCTTTGCTTTAATGAGATGAAGTCTTCTTAGGCTGACATTTGATGTCTTTCTATACATGCCTATGCATGCCATCAATATTCCAGTGTCAACTATTCCGTTCCACTGCTCTTATAGAACACGTCAGCTGTGTGGTCAAGTATCAGGGTTGGAAAATCGAGACAGGTTTCCATTTTGGCTGAACAAGATTGTTTACTATTTGACAACGTGTCCTGAGATTTTCCTCTTGTGTTCATAGCTTATTATTATTATTATTATTACTATTATTATTCACTCTTAGCCCTGCCTTGCAAGGCATGATTCAAATACTGTCTTCTATGAAGCCTTTCCTGATCCCCTAGCCACATGTGAATGCCCATCCTTTGAAGCCCCCAAAGAATCCAGAGCATTTATTCTGACTCTCACTTTTGTGTGCGTGCACACGTGTTGTTATTTTATAACTGTTTTCAAGCTACAGATTCCTGAGAGCAGGAATGTATCTTCCTTATATTTTAGTGTCTTCTGCAAAAGATTCTACTAGCGGAGTAGCTAGATAAATATTTGTTGAACTGATTTGTATGAGCTTCCGAACTAATAGTGACCTTGTGAAGCAAAAGAAAGAAGGAGGCATTTGAGAGAGAAAGTTATCATTTCAGGGAAGAATAGGAGGCAGTGGAAGTATTTGAATAGCTGCAAGCTCTAAAGGCAGAGACAGTGGAAGGTGGATTGGTCGGATGCCGACTGGCCAGCCGGCTGCACGGGCCCTGCCGCGAGGGCCTGGAGGAGACAGTGAGGGAAGGGTTAGGACAGTAGAGGGTGGGGCTGACCACACAGGGGAGAAACATTCTCAGGGAAAGCCCTGTACCTGGGAACTGAGAGAGAGAGAAGTTCTAAAAGTTCTCCTGTTCATTTTTCCTTGTCACAGAGGGAAGGCACTGCATCAGCCAGCATTTTCTGTCCTAAAATCTTACATTCTGTTAGCTTCCTCCCCATGCCCATTTTGTTTTCCAGGTAGGGAGTCTGAGGTGCCCTGCTCAAGGTCAGTGTGAGGTCAGAGCCAGGTGGGGTGTCCTTCTCTAACAAGGTGAGCTCCGAGAGCTCAGTGACTCAGGACTCAGAGATAGTTTTTGCTCATGTCATTGAAGGGAGACTCAACAGCTCTTCTTTCACAGGGTGTGCAAGTTTCCTAGCACTCAGCCCCACACATCATGTGTCAGAATGGGTCTCCTCTCCCCGAGGGGTTGGGGGGGTTTGCTGAGACTGGGTGTCATGTCTTTAGGGACTGTCTGGTCCACAGTCTCTTCCGTCTTGCCCAGCTGCATTCCCCTCTGCCTGACTTCAGACTTGGCTGCTCCCACAGCAAGCTTCTCCCAGATAGTCCAGCCTGCCTCCTGCCTGACTCCCCCAATGGGACCTTGGGTCTGCTCCTTTGGCCTTCCTTTTTTGTGTGTGTGGAAAAGTGGACAAGAATCAGATGATTCCGAGGTCCTGTGTTTCTTTTCATTCTTTATGTAAAATGGCACAACTGCCTATAGTATTGAGTTTAAAGGAGAGAGAGTTTTTGGGGAGAGCTGAGACCCTATGTTTTTCCATGGTTTGTGTTGCTGGTGAAATATCCATTAAAGACATTGCAGGCAACTACAAAAATGGGAATTTGGGGAATAAAATTCCAGGGTAGAAAAGCAGAATTTGAGATTAGCTGTGCAGATGGTGAGTGGATTTAGGAGAAATGGGAGAAATGTCAGGAAAGGTCTCCTGCTAGTGCCTGTGTTGTCCAAGTATAGCTTGGCTTTGGGTATTCAGATTGCTGGTAGGCTGAAACTCACCAGCAGGGGTGGGGGGTCTGGAATTAGTTTTGCTGCCCTAACCCTTTTGCCCTGAGCACAACTCTTTTCACCACATTACCACCAGTATGCCAGTTTCCACTGGATTTTCTCATTCCCTTCAGATTTTCTTTTTAAAAAAATTTTTTAAATGTTTATTAATTTTTGAGAGAGAGAGCATGAGTGGGGGAAGAATAGGGAGAGAGGGGGAGACACAGAACTTGAAGCAGGCCCCAGGCTCCGAGCTGTCAGCTCGGCTTGAGCTGTCATGTGGGGCTTGAACCCACAAACCATGAGATCATGACCTGAGCTGAAGTCGGACTCTTGACCAGCTGATCCACCCAGGCACCCCTCTCTTCAGGTTTTCTGACTTTCACTCCAGTCCCTCCATTTGGCCTAGATATGTCCAGCTCCTTGCTAGCTCTTCCATCTGGGGGGCATGCTTGTCCCTGGTAAGCTTCAGGGCTGTTTGGAGCCACACTCCCAGAAACCACTAGGACTAGTCTTATTAGCATTACCAATGTCCTTTAACAAGGATGGTCACTAGGTCTCAAGGAGCAAGTCAGTTCCAAATCCTCAGTAGCAGCTTCCCGAATCTTACACTGGAGATGATTCTGATAAATTAGTGATGGCCATTATGGACTTAGGACAAGGCAGTGACAGAGTTCCTAACATTTACTGTATTCACACTAGAACTTCCTGCTGCCAGGCTTTGCCCATTAGACCTGCCCCACCCCATGGGTCCTGACTCCAACCTGGAGGTTGCCTGGGCTCATTATGCCTTGGGGTTCTGCAGGTATGTTAGACATTTGGGTTCACACATCACGGCATGTCTTACTGCTGTAGCTGGATCCGAGAGAAGGTAAGGGCAGGTTGAGGGCACTGCAAAGTTAGTAGGAAGTAGAGAAAGGGGACGTATCCAAAGAATGGCCTTACAGAGGTCTGGGAAAAATAGGAGGAAAAGGGAATTGTACAAGATGACGTACCAGAAGAAATTTTTGTAATTGTTTTATGATAACATAATTGTTTTACACTTGTATTCACAGACTCTCTCGGGCTCTTTTCCAAAAGCTGACCATGAAGTTTTACCAGTCTAAGAACAAACAGGATATTGTTATTTCTTTGACTTTAATGTTTTCAGGAATGAAGATAACATGCTTTTAGGAAGGGACATAAAACATTAAAAAAAAATCCAACTCATAACAT